AACTTCTTTGAGTCTTCAGTTGTTGTCGAGAAGTCATAGCTAATGCGACCACCGTTGCCAACATCTGCATCGTTAGCCTTCAGCAATAAGAAACATACTCAAGTGTCAGGAAAAATATTTGGTATCGTTGATTGCTTTTTTTATCACACTTTATGGTTGGACTTTTTGCAACTTCAGTTATCAAGTAAAAAGAATTAAATTTAATATTCATTTCTGTTCTTGGCTTGACAGTTTTTTTTTCAGGAGTAAATTCTAATATTTATTATATATTATATACGTCTATTTCCAATGCCTTAAAAGTTGCAAAGGGATATCTCACTGAAAACTATTCAATGCCGGATTTATTCAGCTACAAATTAATGCAATACGTACATGATTAAACACCGATGATACTTTATTGTAGAAGTATCCAGTAGACAAAGAGGAAAAGGGATTTTTGTAATTTAGAAGGATTTACTATTAACTTATGACATTCACAGTTATTTCTATTGCCAGAATTGTTTTGAGCCAACTTACAATTACACGAATGACATTATCTCCGTGAGATATGTCTTCAGGAACTCCTATGGTAAAAAAGAAAGATAATTATCAAAAATTAGCATTGTAAGTGGAGAGTTGCAGTTATAGAATAATGAATATTGCTCTTTGTGTAAGGGTTCATATTTGCTATGAACAAGCGTGAGCATCATTTAATCGTGATAATTTACACATTTCTTTCGTTTGTTGATGCATAAAATGTCAACTTGTTGCCCCATAATGCCGATGCATTTCTACAACTGCGGGTATGCTGCTAATGCCATAGAACACTAACTAAAGCGTGCTCATCATTCAAATCAATGCATGTTACTTTATAAATGTGTTAGTAAAAGCTTGTTTGTTTTACCTCCTGAATAATCTTTTTTGGTGAATATTGGCCCGTTATCGTTTTCATCAGCAATTTCCACCACAACGCGCTGGATTGTTGGATCATCTGAAAGGTACAAGGGAAAGTGAGAACCAAGCTTCTTTTTCAAAAAAAGGTTAGTGAAAGTAAGAATGTTTACAATATTGTCTGCGTATCCTGCTTGCAAAGGTCTTTTTCTGTCCTCAGCATAATCTCTGTTTACAGAGTAGTGTCTGGGAGGATATTAGAAAAAATTCTTCACCATGTCACAGCCGCAATGTGGGATGACTAACACGAAAAGGCTGCTTCTAATATATCGTTGATGTCAAGTCATTTATATTATTATGTCATTCTCAAAAATATTCGTACAATGATATAAATACGTATATATTTGATAATGACATACTTGGTAAGGGAGAATAAGTTGGGTTTGTTTCACTGGCGCTTCTTCTCTTCCTTGCACTCAGTAAAGATGAGGAATCAAGCTAAAAAAAACCACGATATACAAAACTTGTTTATTGCTACCATTCAAGGTATTTAACTCTTACATAGTGATATATCATCAGCTTAGAATGCAGGTAAAAGGGGATTAACGTTCAATTGTGAAACGATTCGTACCAATATGAATTTTTTCTAGGGCATGCTCCTGGCTTCTACAGTTACATAGTACGCGGATTCTGATGATTTGCTTGAATGTGGGTTTTGTATTTTGTACAGGTTTGACGCGGACGCTAGTTGAGTCTCATAGATTAAGCTCAATTTTTTTCATTAAGTACTATTTTTGTCATACCAACCTTGTAGTTTGATGCCTTAACGAGCATGCTGAAGAATGGTGTCTCCTCGCGATCCTGTAATAAATAAAACAGGTATCACTGTCTAGTTGTTTTGTTTTATTTCAGTGCTTTAGGAAAGAGTTGATTGGCCTTCTACCATATTTATATTAGAGGGCAGCTTCACGTTCGCGCAAAATCGTTCAAACATTTAAGATTATTAAAAGCAATATAAAACGGCTGCTTTATTGTGATCCTAAGCGTTCCTCCGCGTAAGCGTGCTTCTCTCTCGTGCTCTAAAGTTCCCATCGTGTTATTTCACAGTAAGAATATAAGGAATATAATATATAGTCGCTTGATTTTACAGAAACCGGCGATATGCTGCGGTTCTTTGAATCTGCAAGTTATTTAATTCTATGAAACATTTTACGTATTATCACTTACTATGGTTTTCTTAGTTGTTACGATTCCATTTGTTTCGTTAACATCAAAGACATCCCTACCGCTACTCCCTGTTCAGATGTGAATAGTTCAACATCARTAAACAGATTSCGGTGATTGCTTTTGCTTGACTTTCTTTCAGACATTTTAGTAATTGATCTACAAGACACTTACCAATAATATAGTAGTAAACACGGTCAGATTTATCTGAGTCACYGGCCTCAATTTTACCGACACTGGTACCAACGGGAAGATTCTCACCCACAGATAAAGTGGCACTAGGCTAGAAATTGTGATTAAAAAAATATACATATATGAACGAACTATTTTATCAATATTTTTTAGGTTTATTTATCTTCTTTATTACAGAGGTCATTTATAACTTGTTTTAAGCCTGTGTTGCTCTGCGGTGTGTCGAGAAGAAGAGAGCCGAGGGCAATGGTAGKCCAACAGCACAGACCGCTGAGCAATACAGGCTATCTTGATCATAAATAGATTTACCTTTGAGAATAGCGGCTGGTTGTCATTAAGGTCTGTCACTAACACGGTGATATCTTTTTCCTTGGTTAACTTTAAGTTACTCTTCACATTCTTTGCTTGTATTACGAGCTGTCAAGAAATAAATATCAGCATTAATAACGAGGCACTTTACCGAGCTAACAACCTGAGAAAACGATAGGAGAGGCAATGATTAGATGGATGGGTGGGGGGAGGGGGAGAGGAGAAAGGGAGGGCTAGATCAATATCGGCATRGAAGAAAAATGAGAAACGAAAGAAAAACATACCTTATATGAAGCAGTAGTTTCATGGTCAAGTTCTTTCGCTGTTTTCAACTCGCCACTCGTTTTATTCAGTGCAAATTCGCCCTCTTCGTTACCACTAATGATGAAGTACTCAATGTACGCGTTGCTTCCTTCGTCCTTGTCTTTAGCGTTTACAATAGTAATGAATGTGCCAGCTGTGATATTCTGTAGCACATTGAACCATGAAACATGTTAGCGCAAGAGGAAATAAATCAAGAGAAGGAATCTCAGGTATTCATGCTTGTTACCATCATGGGTACCGTT